GAGGAAGAAGTAGGAGGAGGAAAGGGAGGAGAAGGATAAACGAAAGGAAAGGAAAACGAAGGAAAACCGGGAATTCCTTTAAAAATGATCAACGATAATAAATATAGATTTTTAATTTTTTAAAAGGGAAGCAAGGAAAAAGGTTTAAGGTTTGTTTGTTTGTTTCCCTTCTCCCCTCCTCAAAGGAAAAAAAAAAATTGGCGTTCGATGATGATGATGATGAATTATCAAAGGAAAAAACGAATTTAAAAAAAAAAAAATTTAAAAAACGTATTTCGTTTGTTTTGTTTGTTCTCTCCGCTGAAACTTTCCATAATTTTCATCATCATTGACTTTTAGTTTAACCCGTGAGAAACGCGCGCGCGGTTGTTGTTTGTTTCATTAATATTATTATTATTATTATTATTATTATTATTATTATTATTGCGAGTGGAAAAGAAAAAGGAAAAAGGGGAAAAAGGAAAAATTGAAAAGTTACGCGAATGTATGGGATCGACCGTGCACCTTATTATTTCCCTCCCCCCTCCCGCCCTTTTTTTTGTTTGTTTGTTTGTTCGTTTGTTTCCTTGTTTTCCACCTCATGATAAACGTTTGCCCGGTTAAAATTCCATAAAATTTCGATCGCGCCTTGAATTTCTCGAGGAAAGTAGTTTTAAGAATATTTCTTGGTTGTTTTATATAAGTCGAAGATGATGGCGGCGGTGGCGGTTGGCAAAATTTCTTTCTTTTACGACGACGAATGCGAAAGTCGTTCGGTAGCATAGCAGAAGTTATAAAAGTGAAAAAGAGAGAGGGGGGAGGAGAGGAGAAACACTTTCGATTCGCATGCGAATAAATAATTTTTCTTTTCTTTTCTTTTACCACGATGAAGTTATCTTATTGTTTTCAACCATTATTATTATTATTACTTTAAAGTTTCGTTCGTTCGCATTGTTAACAAACGATTCGAAAACAAACAACTGTACAGAATTATTACTTTTACTATTACGTCTCTAACGTTACGACGACAAAGTTTCAAAAAAAAAAAAAAGACATAAAATTTTGTGATTTTTTAACGAAAAATTTATTCATCGTCATCATCATTATTATTATTATTATTATTATTATTATTATTATTATTATTATTATTATGATCATCATTACTTTTAACAACTTCCCTTTATGCAGATTTTGGTCGTTAGTTAAATTTTTTAAGTATCTTCTTCGTTCGTCCACTTTCTCGCGTTGCGCAATAATAATAATAATAAACCGTTTAAAAAGTTTTTTTTTTTTTATCAGGTTTTTTAAAAATTACTTTTAATAAATAGGTTTTTAAAAAAGAAAAAAAATCCTGAATCACGTTCCTTAAAGAAAGAGAGAGAGAGAGAAAACAATTTGTGTAGGTCACATGTTGTCTGAGTAGTTGTAGTAAGTTGTAATGTTGCGGTCGGCGGCCGCCATTTTGCAATGATTTTCGCTTTTTCTCTTTTTTTTTTTTTTAAATGGGTCGATTGGACACTAAAGTTTATGTGTATAAGTAGAGGCAGACATTTTTTTTTGGGAGGGGAGGAGAGAGGGGAAGGATTTGTTGTCGGAAAGGTGCGAGTGTAATTGATTGACGTCGTCGATGGATGGATTTTTTTTTTTAGGAGGGTCGTGGCTCGTGCCACGATCGGTATCGAAAACAAAATACCGTTTTTTTTTTGTCTTTTGGTGATTTTGGTCGATTTCAAGGTTGGCATAAATGTTTACGACACGAAACGTATGAATTTTTTTTTTAAAAAACAATTAATCAGCGATATTTAACCTTTTTTTTTTTTTTTTTTTGAAATCGTTTGGACGGAAGTGATGACGCTGAATAATTTACAAACGGCGGATGATTGGTCTCCCTTTCTTCCCCCCGCCTGTTCGCCCCCCGGTTTTCCTTTGGTCTCTCATTTTGCCACGATGCGAAAGGAGGAAAAGGAGGAGGAGGACACGTTGAATGAATTTCTGTTTCGAAGGTTGTTTGTTTTCGTCCTGTTGCCGTGTCATCTGACTTATGTCGAACGACGACGACAACGTTCGTTATCTCGTCACTATCACAATATATACCCATGCCTATCGCATGCATATCAATCCTTCATGTTCTATTTAGGTTTTTTTTTTTTTTTTTTCTATCTTTATCTTTCGATCTTGGTCACTTACCTTAAAATTTTATCGGGGAGATTAAAAAAATTTCGTAGTGCCTTGTTTTTTAAAATGAGAAACGAGACTAGATATGATAATATGATTGTTGTTGTTGTTGTCGTTGTTGTGATAAGTGATTAAATAGCTCAGGTATGTTTTCCGTTATCAAACGATTCTTTCCATCTCGATTATTTTCTCTCTCTCTCTCTCTCTTCTCTCTCTCTCTCTTTTCTCTCTCTCTTTTCTCTCTCTCTCTCTTTTCTCTCTCTCTCTCTTTTCTCTCTTTTCCTCTTTGTTGGTATTAATTAGTGAAACGTTTCCATCTCCATCAGTTTGTTGTTTTTTTCATTCACCTGTTTTTTTCAAATTTTCTATTTACCCGGCGCCCCAAGGTTATGACGATTTCAACTTTCTCTTGAATCTTTTGCGTCGCGCCGAGAAGATGTAAGAAATTAAAAAAACGAGAGCGAGCGTGACCCCCCCGTAGGCACACGCATGCCCTTTTGCGTATTTGAGTAATGTGATTGATTGATTGATTGATTGAAATAATTTATTTACGTGTCGGATCGCGTCGACCCAAGACTGCCTAAAATAACGGCGAAAACCCTATACGGAGTCGAAAGAAAGAAAAAAAAAAACGGGGCACGAGAACGTCCGATTAATGCTTTTATGGAAAAAAAACCGTTCGGTGGTTTTTATTGAAAGAACGAACGGTATGCACACGAAGACGTTTCCCTACCTTCTTCTCCTGCCACGTTATGATTCATTACTCGGTATCCGACCCCGATACGATCGTTTTTTCAATAGGGCACCTATAGGGCACTCAAATTCCTTGAACTTTTTACAGTTGTTGACGTTGGATTCCATTTTATCTCTCTCTCTCTCTCTCTCTCTCTCTCTCACTCTTTCTTTCTCTATTCCTATCTTGAAAATAATTTCGAATTGGTAGAAAGAAAAAAAACAACCAAAATTTCCCCCGCAGAAGTGAAAAAAAAGAGAGAGAAAGAAAATTTATTGTGTGCAAAAATAAAGCGAGAGTAAGAGAGAGAGAGAGAGAGAGAAAAGAACCCGCGAGTTTTTTTTACTTCAGGTTTTTCATTATCCACCCAGCTCATTGCCAACTTTGAAAAAAAAAAAAAAAGAAAATTTATTGCGTAAATCGAATGTGAAGTCATTTTTATTATTAGTCAAAAAAAAAAAAAAAAAAAACTTTTAGCCTTGCATGCGAAATGTCTTCTGTCTGACATCTTTGGTTTTTTTTTTTTTTTTTTCTTACGAACGCTTGTTTGTTATTATTATTATTATTCATACATCGAGTGTTTGTTTGAACTCGCGGTTCGCATCATCATCATCATCATCATCATCATCATCATCATCATCATCATCATCATCATCGGTGGGCGAGAAACGTTTTTTTTGTTTGCCCGCGTGTGTGTGTGTGTGTGTGCGTCTGTGTGCTTTATAATCTCTTGAGATTTTATTTGAAGGCGTAAAGCTAAAGGATGGAAGAGAAGGATAGAGAGAGAGAGGGAGGGTAGGGGAGAGAGAGAGAGAGAGAGAAGGAAAATTTTTTTGGTCTTAGCTATACAAAGATGATTTCAGAATTGTTTTGTTTTGGTCGATTATAAGGAAAATGTTAAGGCCGAATCAAAATAGAAAATCTTCACTTATAATTTATTAAATGTCAGACATTTTTTTTTTCTCTATGGAAATGTTTTTAGAGAGGAGATTATCGAAGGAAATTATCTTTGGCAACAAATAGGTTTCGATAGTTTCGATATCTCGAACTCCGATACGAAAGAAAGAAAGAAAGGAAAGAAAACGGGCGAAAAAAATGTTCATTTAATATTCGATGAGTAAAATCGGAACCGGTTCCTAGTTTACGGTTTGACCCGAATTAATCTACCTAGAGAGAGAGAGAGAGAGAGAGAGAGAGAGAGAATTTATTAATTCTTGAATGATTTCATTCCTTTTTTACTACATAAGTTTCATACGGTGAGAGGAGGTGCCGTTGAATTTTTTTTTTTTTCTTAACTAAATCATGCGCGAAAAAAAAGGAAGTGGTAGTAGTAGTAATAATAATAATGAATCGGTTGGATTATTATCAGCGTTCCATTAAAATGGACATACTGGAAACCGGATCGTGTGTGTGGGCCCCCCTCTCCCCCCCCGTACTGCCGTATCGAACTTTCGATTCTCTTTTCTTCTTCTTCTTTCCGCATCGTCGATTCATTCGATCGTTTTCGATATTATTATTATTATTATTCGAGATTTTTTTTGTTTAAATAATGTTTAATGGAGGAGGAAAGTTTTGTAAAGGTTTCTTTCTAAATAAGAGCAACAACAAACGACATTTTTTTTTTGCACGTCGCAAATTAATAAAAACAACCATTTTGCGGTTTTGCTACGGTCAAAAAAATAAAAATATTTAATTATACACGCGGGCGTGCCGATTACGTAAACGTCGCGCTCGTTTTACGTTGAAAGAAATTGTTGTTGTTGTTGTTGTTGTTGTTGTTGCTGGTCCGCACATGTGACCGAACGAGAACAACCTGGAAACGGGGAAAAAAAAAAAAAAAATATCGAGTTTTGCGTTCAGGTGCAAAACGTTTGTTATTTTTTTTATTAAAAAAAAAAGTTAAAAATTTCCTGAAGGAACTCCTCCCCCTTTTAGAGAGAGAGAGAGAGAGAGAGAAAAACTCGTTATTCTGCCCTTTTTTTTTTAAAATAATTTCTTCGTGTTCGGCAACGGTAAGAATGTTGTTGTTGTTGTTGTTGTTGTTGTTTCTTTCCCTCTATCTCTGTGTGTGTATGTTGTAACATTTGTCGTTGTGTTGTGTTTTCCACGCCATATGTGTTTTTTCAAGGTGGTAAAAAGAAATTAAGAGAGAGAGAGAGAGAGAGAGAAAACGCGCGTTTGTTGTCTTACGTTTATTAATCTTTTGTTTTGTTTTTGTTTTTTTTCAGGCGTCAACCATAGATGGAAGGAGAAAAGGTGCCTGTTTATTTTGTCAAGAATATTTTATGGATTTGTACCTTCTGGCCGAATTGAAAACGATTTCTTTAAAAGTAACCACGGTGGACATGCAAAAACCGCCTCCGGATTTCAGAACGAATTTCGAAGCGACGCCGCCGCCGATATTGATTGACGGGGGACTCGCCGTTTTGGAAAATGATAAAATCGAAAGGCACATAATGAAAAACATACCGGGGGGTCACAATTTGTTCGTTCAGGATAAAGAAGTCGCGACTCTAATCGAAAATCTTTACAGTGTAAGTCCATTTAAATAATAATAATAATAATAATGATGATAATCATTTTTACCTTTTCCGCAGGTTCTCTTTCTCTCATTTTTTTTGGGGGGGGGGAGTTTCCTTTGTCTCGGGTTTAAATTTTTAAAACGTTCGTCGGGGGAAAAAAAAAAGGCGGTACCTTCTTTCCCTCCTTCTCCTTCCCCCCTCCTCCTTTTTTTCCCGTTGCGAATTTTAACCGCGAGAGTTCATAAAAAAAAGTTTGTATGCGCATAAATCGATGCGTTGTCGAGTTTTTTTTTTTTTTTTTTTTTTTTTTTTTTTTTGTGCCCATTAAAGTTTTGATGACACGTGATGGATTTCTATCTGTCGTCAAGGTCTCGTACGATTCAGAGGCCGTTCACTTTACATTTTTAGGTTGATTACATTAGAGAGAGAGAGAGAGAGAGAGAGAGAGAGAGAGCGAACAACAAACGAACAAACGCGAAAGAGCGTCGTAGTAGTGGGGAGACAAATGAAAAAGAGATTTGAGATTTTTCTTAGAAAAACGCGCGTTCGTTCTGTTCGTTCGTACGTTCGTTCTTACGAATCAATTTTAAAAAAAGAAATAATAATAATAATAATAATGATGATGATAAACGTGTCAAAATCAAGATAATCGATTAAAAGGAAGTTTATTCGTAATTTATTATTATTATTATTATTATTATTATTATTTTATTATTATTTTATTATTATTATTATTATTATTATTATTTCTTCCTACGAGAAGAAGGAAACGGAAGAGTGGGAGAGTGGGGGAGGGGGGAAACGTGGAAGGAGAACTTGTCACCTTCGAACGTGTTTTTAAAACTTTTTGTTCTTATTTGTTTGTTTGTTTGTTTAATTATCGTTTGCAGAAATTAAAATTAGCATTGATAAAGAAAGAAGAGGGAAAACCGACGGCTTTACTCACGCACCTTCGTAAAATCAACGAACACCTCGCGAAGAAGGACACTCGCTTTCTCACGGGGGACACGATGTGTTGTTTCGACTGCGAACTGATGCCACGTCTCCAACACATTCGAGTCGCCGGAAAGTATTTTGTCGATTTTGAAATCCCCGGAGAGCTCACGGCTTTGTGGCGTTACATGTATCACATGTATCAATTGGATGCGTTCACGCAATCGTGTCCCGCCGATCAAGACATAATTAATCATTATAAATTACAAATCGTAAGTGTGTGCGTGTGCGTGTGCGTGACGTCACGACGGTGACCCCCATGCTCGTTCTCTTATCATTTTTCTCTTTCTTTCTTTCTTTCTTTCTCTACAGGGAATGAAAATGAAAAAACACGAAGAATTGGAAACGCCAACGTTCACGACATCGATTCCTGTGGAAATATCCCTGGAAGACTGAATTTTATGAGGCCTTATCATCAATAATCGTTATCGCTGAGAGCCAGTTGTGCCACATAACCAAAAACAGGAATGCGAAAGTTTTCTACTTACACGACATTGAATTGCAGCAAACAATCAATACGTTTAAAAAAAATTTTTTTTTTCTTTTTCTTTTATATAAATTATTTCTCTCTCTCTCTTTCTCTCTCAAAAATTTGTTGATTTTTCCCTCGGGACCCCTTAAAAGAAGAGAAAAGAAAGAAAAGGTTATCGACCTCGAAAGGCTGGATTCCTTATTATAGAAACAAACAAACAAATTTTTGGATATTAAAGCGATCAAGTTGTCGTTTCCCTTTCTTAAAACCACGACAGGATATCCTTTTAAATGCGGTAGAATAAAAAAAAAAAAAAAAATTTGTCGTGTCGATTTGCAAGGAAGGTGCTGATAAAGTCGTTTGCATAAGCAATTAACGCCATTGTTAATTGCTCGTACAAACGAACAAACGAAACAAACGAACGAACGTGTTACTACGTCATCGTCATGCATTTTATTCCGAACGTCCGTCGCTCACGAGGTCGTAATTCTTTCTTTTCTTTTCTTTTCTTTTCTCCCTCTCTCTCTCTCTCTCTCTTTTTCTTTCTCTCTCTTTGGTTTCATTTCATAAACGTGAACGTCGTCGACGAAAATTGACGTCACTCGTCGACGTCATCGTCGTCGTCGTCGTCGTCGATTCTAATTCCGTAAAAAATAAGAATAAATTCTTTTTTTTTTTTTTTTTTTCTAATTTCTTGCTGCACGATTGATTGATTGATTGATTGATTTTCCGTACGAGAAAAACAATTTATCGTCATCATTATTATTATGATTATTATTATTAATATTTGTAAATTGTAGTGTCAATAACTAATTGATTAGGAATTAAGGTTAATTAATTATTAATTAATATTTTTTTTTTTTTTTAAATTTGTTTTTATTTTGTTTTTTTATCCTTCGATTCGATTCGATCGATCGAACGATGGATCGTTCGATGGATTGTAAATATTATTATTATTATTATTAAGGTGTTTGAATGATGATGATGATTTGATGTGACATCCAAAGTCTAATTTTTCAATATAAGGTGTGAACAAAAAAAAAAAAAAAAAAATGACGCATTTAAAAAAAAAAAATTTAAATTTAAATTTTTTCTTCGGGAATGAAGGGACGAAGTTGTGAAAATGATGGGGGGAGGGGAGAGGGGGGAAGGATTGAAAAAGGATAGTAGATTAAGGGTTGTTTTTTTGTTTGTGTGTGCGCGTTTTCATTCGTTGAATTTTCGGGTGGTTTTTCTATTTCTTTTTCGAACGCGGAGCGTTCGTTTTATTTTTTTTTTTTAAAAAAATCCGTCCGTGATTGATATAAATGGGGGGGAGGGGATGAACATGCGTTCGTTTGTTTGTTGTCGTGACGCTTTGTCGGATCGCATTGGGTCCATCTTCGACAAACGATGACGACAGGAACGACAGAAATGAATTTTTTTTTTTTTTTTTTTTTTACAAACGACAGGAAATTTATTATTATTATTATTAATATTTTTTGTCAATTAAAAGAAATGTCAAAAACGATTCGAATGATGTTTCGTTAAAATTTTTTTTTATTAAGGGAGGGAGGGGTGGAAGGAGGGGGCGAGAGAGTGATTGAAAAAAAGGGTGCAGAAAAATTTATTATTTTAAAAAAAAAAATTTTCTAAGTCAATTATAATTAAATTTTTTTTTCTTTTTTTTTTTGTGTGTGTGTGTGTGTGTGCATTACATTAACGGCGTTTATTTTCTCTATGGATTTTTATTATTATTATTATTATTATTATAATTATCATGATAAAATAAAAATGATAATATTTTTTTATTATTAATAATTTTTTGTGATTTATTTAATTTTTTTTCCCTTTTCATTATTGTCGTTTATTATTATTATTATTGTTGTTGTTGTTGTTGTTGTTGTTATCGTTTCCTGTTAATAATAAAAAAATAACAAAAATGTTTTTTGTTGTTTGCTGAGAATAATTGAAATTTTATTATTATTAGGAGATTGAATGTGGTGTTTGTTTTTTGTTTGTTTTTTTTTTTTTTTTTGTTTCACGGTTATTATTATTATTATTCGAAAGCTTTATTTTATCTGGAAAGAAAGAAAGGAAAATTTAACACTAGTTAAACATTAAAATTATATGCAGGTTTTACACACGCACACGCACGCACACACATTTTAACAATAGTTTTTTATTTATTCATGCACAACCTTGGACGATGATCTTACGGATAAGATTTTTTTTTTTTTTTTGCATAATTTAACGCGATTTTTTTTTCTTTTATTTAATTTTTGATAAAATGAATAATAATATTATTATTATTTTATTGTTTTTTTTTTCTTTTTTTTTTTTTTTTTTTTTTTTTAAAGAAGAATCTTACAGGATTTTTATTTAAAAAACAATTACAAATGAAATTTTTTTTCCGCCATTTTGTTTTACGTTGATGACGCAATCGTGACGTCACGATGACGTGGTTTTTTAAAATGACGTGTAACTTTTTTTAACGTGTCAGTATATTTAAATTGTTTACAAAGATGGCGTCGATTCGTACAAGTGCTCAAAAAGTTTTCGTGCCTTATTTAATTTAAATAATAAAATGGAAGGTAAGATATTTAATTTAATTAATTTAATTTTATTTTATTTTAATAAAAAAAAAAAAATAAGGTGAAATAAATAATAATAATAATAATAATAATAAATACGTTATAGGTGACGACGCGGAATCTTCACTTCTCGTCGTCATATTTGATACTCATCCAAATCAACGACTTTATAGAGAACAGCAACACGTTTTAACTCAAACATTAGAATCCATCTTAGCTTTTTCAAATTCTCATTTAATGTTGGGTGCTAAAAATAAATTGGCCATATTAACAAGTCATGCGAGGGTAACGGAATTTTTATATCCGTGCAAAGATGATAGCGCTGAAGTTATTAGACAACAAAGCGGACAATATGAATTATTTACACAGGTTGAAAAAAGCGTTAGACATAATTTACAACAATTGTTAAAAAAAGAAGCGTCTCATGCGAAAGATTTTAATTCATCTGAATCTCTCATCGCTGGAGCATTAGCAATGGCATTGTGTTATGTCAACAGGTAGTCATTAGTCTGTTAATATTTTCATAAATTCATTCAAAAGGAGAATTTAATTTATTAATCGTTATTCAGATTGCAGTTAGAATTAGGAGCTGGTGAAAAAATGAATTCGAAAATACTCATCGTAACTGGAAGTGGGGAAACGGCTTCGCAATACATGAGTTACATGAGCGTTTTTTTTACAGCCCAAAGACAAAATATATTAATAGATGTGTGCAGTTTAGATCAAGATTTAAGTTTATTACAACAAGGTTGCGACATAACAGGAGGTCTTTATTTAAAAGTGCCACAATTATCTGGATTAGTACAATATTTACTCGTAAGTCATTTGATAATTTAATTTTTATATCAATCCCTCATTCAATTCAATTTATTGTTATTATTATTATTATTTTTTTAAGTGGGTTTTTCTACCTGAGCCACCTTTGAGAAATTGTCTCGTTTTACCTCCTCCTGTTAAAGTCGATTATAGAGCTGCTTGTTTTTGTCATCAAGATTTAATCGATACAGGTTTCGTGTGTTCCGTTTGTTTATCGAGTGAGTAAAATCACTTTTTTCCCCCTCCCCCCCTGTTGACTTAGGGTAAAAATTGGTGATGTTGCATAATTGTTGATTTGTTTTTTTTAGTTTTTTGTAAATTCAGTCCGATTTGTACGACTTGTCATGCTGTTTTTAAAATGCCTGGACCATTGCCGCTCAAACCGAAAAAGAAAAAAATGAAATACATATGATGAAATATCAACTTGAGACAAATCGTTTTTTATTATCTCATGCAAAAGTTTGTGAATGGAATCATGTGGAATAATTTATTATATAAAAACAACTCAAACAGTCAATTATGATTACTTTTTCCAACAGGTAAAAAATTTCTCAAAATGATCTCATTATTATGTTTATAAAAGGAGGGCAAATTATTATTATTATTATTATTTTTCTTTTTCTATATAATATAATATTCATTCATGAATGTTTTGTCATAGTTTTGTCGAATGTTATTATGTTTTTATTAAAATAAATAAATAAACAAACAAATTATTTATTTATTTATTTATTTATTTACTTTAATCACATGTTGTCACTTTTATGTACATAATATAATTAAATAAATAATAAATTTTTGATTAAAGGGAGAGAAAAAAAAAAAAAAGAAATGAAAACAAATAAATGATGCTGATATTAACTGGTACTTGACAACAACATGATTATTTAATGTGAGCGGTTGTTGTAAATATACACACAAAGTTAAAGTAAGTAAATTTTTTTTTGGTTATCAATTGTAACCCTTGATTTTTGACTTTTGTATTATTGTTCTTTTCAAAACAAAATTATTAAAATAAATGAATTTTCTCTTTAGCTAATTCAGCCTGTCTGTGGTAAAGTTTCAAATAATGTTTGAACATTAATAATAATAATAATAATAATAATAATAATAATAATACATGTTAATATCGAAAAAATTTTTAAGTTAAACCGATTCAAAATCAATTGTACACAACTTATTATTTGTACAGTTGTTGTGCCTGAATACATATCAAAGTCAATTATTTTATTATATTTATTTAATTAAACCTAAAGATTGTTTTTTTTTTTAAATTACCAAAACTAAAAAAAATTTTGGCTGAGTTTTTAGTTTTTTTTTTTTTTTTTTGCCATTTGCAAGTAATGAATTTATATATATTTGAATGTTTTCCTTGACATTTTCTCTAACACGTACGAAATTAGTTTTTCCTGATTGAATTCGATATCTCTCTCTCTCTCTCTCTCTCTTCCTACTTATTATTAATATTATTATTGAAATTTTTTTTTTTTTTTTTTCAGTTTTGACAAATGGCATTTGTTTTTTCAATCGAAATTAAAAATAATTTAACGACAAGTTTATTCCTTCTAAATTAATTAATTTATTACAAAATAAATTTAAATAAATTAAAGAACAAAAAAAGTGGTAGTAGTAATAATAATAAAACATTGATAATTTTCAAAATGGCGGACGTTAAAAAGTGAAATATATAACACGGTGTTATAAAAACGAAGACAACAAATTTAGGGAAATTGTTTTTTTAAAAAAAAAAAAATTTTAAGAAGATAATGTATTCAATGTATATCAAATGATAAAAAAAGTTTTTTTATATTATTTGATAAACGATCGCGTCACAAACGGAAATGTAAAAAGATGATTTTTATTTATGTTGAGCGTAAGTGAAAATAAATTCAATTTAAAATTTATAAATTTACTAATGAAAATGTAAAAAGGTGAGTTTTATTTATGATGAGCATACGTGAAAATAAATTTAATTTAAAATTTTAATATTAACTAATAAAAATGTAATAAATGTTCAGTAGTCGTTGTCGTCGTCGTCGTCGCCATCGCCGCCATCGCCGCCATTATCGACTACAAAAAAAAATTTATTATTTTTTTTCTGAGAGTTTAGTTCGTTCGGTTAAACTATGTGAAATATATTTATTTTGGTAAAAAAAGAAATTTCGAAATTGAAAAAAAAAAACAAATTATTATAACAAATCGTTTTAAAGTTTTTTTTTTTTAATAAATCGACAGAACAAATCGAAACGGTTTCGATTAACGGTTTATTTTTAAAATAGATTAATAATTTATTGTTTTTAAAAAAATTTCAAAAGTGTAGAAAAGTTCAATGAGCTCATATTATTTATATTCGTTTAATAATAATAATAATAAGGAAAAGAAAATTTAAATAGTAATAATAATAATAATAATATTCCCATTAAACTGGGATCTTATTTAGTAAAAACGAAAGAGATAATTGGAATGAGGTCCGATTTACAATCATCAATACGTCATACATCAAGTGATCATTTTTCAGAAAAATATATATTTATTTAGTCAAAAAAAAAAAAAAGGAAAAAACGTTTTAAAACAATTCATTTTTTGCGAGATTTCTTAAACATCAATAACTGTATCATCAAGTAAATGCAATTTTAAAAAAAAAAAATCGGTTTAATTCAATAATAATAATAATAACGAGTTATAAAATAACGGTCGTTTTACATTCAATTTATTTATTTATTAAAGATTACATATATATATATATATATATATATATATAAAGGTCACATTTATCATCTGGTCTTATCAATTAAATGATAGAAGAAGAGTGAGAGAGAGAGAGAGAGAGAGAAAAAAGGAAAATCTTAGCAAAATTTTCATCGTGGAAATATAAACACTCGTCACGGGTAAAGGATTCATAGTATTCAAGATGGCTCCCACATGCGAATCTGAAGAAAAACACGGAATGAATTCGGAATCTGATAATTTAAATAATAATCATCATAACGTTATTAAAACAAATAAGGGTGAGTTATTAATTAATTATTATTAATTTAATAAATGAATTTTTTTAATATTAAAAAGAGAGATGAACGTACGTACGAAACGATGAAAATTTTATTTGGCTCGAGTTTTTTTTTAAATGATGACGTTCGTTCGATTTTGTAACGGTCGGCCAAAAACGGAAAAAAAAAAAAAATTTTAACGAATTTTTTTTAATCTCCATTAAGATAAAAATTTATTTTAAGGTTTTTTTTTTTTTGATTTTAAATAACGGAGATTTTTACATTATTAAAGTAATAATAATAATAATAATTTATCTGTAAAAAAGGAAAAAAAATTTTATCTGCGAGTAGATAAATTCAACCCTTAATTGTCCGCCATGTTTGTTTTTTTTCTTTCTGTCCGTTTCTCATTCGATTTCAAACGTTTCGTTTATATTTTTAAACGTATGTGAAAATTTTTTTTTTTTTGAAAATTTATATATATATATATATATATATAAAAACAAACGGATGTTTTATGTGTTTGTTTGTTTGTGTTTGTCCCATGATTTTTTTTTTTTCATTATAGGAAAGAATGAAGGTCAATTATATCTTATCTAAACTTGCAGGCAGAGTTCGGTAAACCGGTTTATATTTGAAAAAAAAAAAAAATTTTAAAACACACAGCCTTCTATTAAAAATGTATACAAACAAGCGGTGACAATTAATTTTAATGAGGAAAAAAATTTGTCGGTCCTGTTAAGTTTACGTAATAAATTAATAATAATAATAATAATAATAAATCTTAACGAAATCGTTAGAATTTTCAAGGACTTTTCGCTTTTTTTTTTTTTTTTTTTTTCAATTTGCAAATTTTTTATTCGCACAAACAAAAACCTGAATATTATTAATAATAATAATAATGATCGTTTTATGTAACTTAACGGTTTCGATAATTGAATAACAAAAAAAAAAAAAAAAAAAAAACCTTGGCGATAAATAAAAAATGGACGTCGTTACATTATTTAATAAAAGAAAAAAAGAAAATAAATGAAAATTTAAAAGTTGTTTTATTAAATAATTTATATACGACAGTATTATTATTATTATTATTATTATTATTATTATTATTATTATTATTATTATTGTTGTTGTTATCCTTATCAATATTTTGTTGATGTTTGTTCTCTTTGTCTGATAGGTAGGTGGGGTCGGGTTTGTTTTATTGATAATTTCTTGTCAAAAAAAAAAAAAAAAAAAAAAAGATCGGTTTTGAATTGTTATGAAATTGGCAAAAAACAAAAATGACGTCACGACGTTTTTTTTATTTTTGTCGGATTTGAAAATCGATGAATCGATAGATCGATCGATCGATCTATCGATAATCGTGTTTATTTTTTTTTTTAAATGAAAAGCTTACGGTAAGATTAATTGTGATTTTCTTTTTCTTTGTTGTTGTTGTTGTTGTTAATTGATTATTCCTGAAAAAATCGATAAAAGGAAAAAAGTAGATAGAGTTAGGAAAAGTCGGAAAAAGAAAGGGGGGAGGGGGGAAATTATTATTATTATTATTATCGCGCGAATTGAAAACAAAACAAAAAAGGAACAATCGAATGTGTTGACGTTTAGGATTTTTTTGGTTGTTGGTAGTAAGACTGAGAGACATTTGATGGAAAAACAAAAGAGTATTTGATACTCGAACAAACAAACAAACAAACAAAAACCTTGAACCTAATTTAAAAGGTACGAAACAGGAGGAAATGGGGGGGGGGAGAGGTGGCAAAGAAAAAAACAAATTTTTTTTGTTCTTGTTACGACTCGACAAATGCGATGACGTCACATTCAATTTCGCATAAAATTCGTTATTGATAAAAAAAAATAATTAATAAAAATCGATAATCAATCAATATGAAATTGATTTTTTTTTGCGCATGCGCGGAACTCGATAAAAAAAAATAAAATTTTAAAACAAATTTTTCGCCCTTGGGTGGTCGTAATAAGCAAAAAAAAAAAACCTTTAAAGGTTACGACTGACGATGATAAAATTTTTTAATAAGGTTCAATGATAATAATAATGATAATAATTTCATTGGGGAGTAGGGAAATCAAAAAAAATTTCCGAAGGAGAGGGGGGAAGGGAAGAGGGAAACTTTTTTTTTTTTTTTTTATTAATCATCGATATCAATTTAAAAAAAAAAAAACGATTAAAATTATATTTAAATTGGCTACGGTTACGATTTTATAACCTTGAACGATAGCAAAAATAATTTGAGGGGGCTTTGCTGAAAGAAAACTCTTTGATTTTTTATATTTATTTAGAAATTTTTTCGTTTGTGAGGGGAGGAGGGAGCTGTGGAATACATTTTATTTGTCATGACGTTTTCCATTCGTTGAAAGCGCAAACAAACAAACAAACGAACGAACGAACAAACGATTCGGGTCATTTTGATCGTAAAAAAAAAATTTATTTATTTACTTTCACGCCCCGTCGCGATTTCCCTTCCAGAATTTTCCTTCGGGTTAACAAAAAAAAAAAAAAAAAAAAGTGAAAATTATTAGTAATAAACCCTCCAGGCCTTTAAGAATAACGAAAAAATTTGTTTAATATTTCAAACAAACGCCTTTTATAATTATTATTATTATTATTATTAACCACAGGGTTTATTTTACGGCATCTACTTAAAAATTAAAAAATAAAAAAAAATACGAACCTGTTTGTTCATGTTGTTGTCGTTTGTTGTGTCCCTTCGAGCGTTATTTTACTTTATTAAGTTGCATTAAAAAAAAAAAAAAAAAATTGTAAACAAACGTCGCAAATGCATTTTTCTTAATTTTTCGTAATAATTAATTGATATCGGTCAAAACTATTTGATAATCTGACACGCACTCACGCACAAACACACACGCACTCTCTCTCTCTCTCTCTCTCTCAAGTTGTCTATCTATCTTAAAAAAATTTACACGCAAAAAACAAAAATCCAAAACAAAATATTACGTAATCTTTAAACAATCATTATCATTATTATTATTATTATTATTATCATTATTATCATTATTATTATCATTATTATTTAATAGAATTTCTTTCGTTAAATACACATAAATATATAGGACACGCGTGGTGTTGCTTAAGTTCGTTCCATTTAATAATAAATAAAAACAATAAAAAAAAAAAAAAAACTCGTTTGTTGACATTGTTGTGGTTGTTGTTGTTGTTGTTGTTTACATAAAATTTTTTTCGATTTGATAATTTTAACGAATAGATGAAGTAAAAAAAAAAAAAAAAAAAAAAAGAAAATTTTGTCGTGATGACGTTTTAAAATATTCGCACAAAAAAAGACGTAAAATTTGTGCCAAAACAAAACGAAACGAAAAAAATTGACCCCAATTCTCTCTCGTTTGTTGTTTGTACGGCCAAAAAATATTTAAAAAAAAAAAAATTTATTTTTACTCGTTCGTTCGTTAATAAATAAAAAAAAATTTTTTTTTTAATAAATCCGCCATTTTTTTTTTTTTCAGAAAACAGGTTTAATGATTTTAGATCTTTGGTTGTTGCTTTCGTCGGACTTCCGGCACGTGGTAAAACAGTTTTGGCTCATAAACTAACAAGATATTTACAATGGATTGGGATATCGACGGAGGGTTTGTTACACAAAATGTGATGATTGTCCATAACAAACGTAAAGTTCTACTAATATTTATTATTATTATTATTATTATTTTACAGTGTTCAGCGTTTGCGATTATTGTCGAAAACACGTGGAATTATACGATCACAACGTGTTCAGAGTCGATAATAGGGAAGCGATGAAATTAAGAGAAAAAAGCACTTTCGAAGCCATGGAAGATGCAACTCGTTGGTTAAAAGGTGATGGAAAAGTCGCGGTACGTCATCCTCCGTTTGTTGTTGTTGGTGTGGTTGTCGCCGCTGTCGTCGCCACCAAATATTCAAAACATTTCGTTTGTTTGTTTTACAGATATTAGACGGTACGAATCCGAATAGAAACTACAGGAAAGTTTTACACGAATATTTTGTCAAACAACTCGGTTATAAATTATTATTTGTCGAATGTATTTGCGACGACGATGGTATCTTGGAAAAAAACATCAGGGTAACTTCGATTAATCGATTAATCGATTTATCGATTTATCGATTACGACGAATAATTTTTTGGTTTTGTATTTATAGGAAATCTTGCAATTCAACATAGATTATAAGAAAATGAAAAAAGAAATGGCAATGAAGGATTTGAGGTGTAAAATAGAACATTTTAAAGAACAATACGAATGTTTAACAACGAGAAACGAATCCAATTTAAGTTTTATTAAAGTTTTCAATGGCGGCGAAAATATTTCGATAAATAAAATATCAGGTCAATTGCAATGTAAAATCCTTTATTACATATCTAATTTTCGCGCACAACCGAGGACTTTGTATTTTTCAAGAGTGTGTGTTTATTTATATATTTTTCCCCCCCTCTCTATCTCTTTCTCTCTCTCTCTCTCAAATCTCGTTAAATGATATAACATTCACTGACTATTCCCGAATGTTTTTTTTTTCAAGCACGGCGAAAGCGAATTTAATTTACTCGGACGTATTGGAGGAGATGCAAATTTATCACCGAGAGGATTACAATACGCACAAAATTTAGCAAGATATTTCAATCAGAGATGTATAAAAGGATTGAAAATATGGACGAGTGAAAAAAGGAGAACGAATCAAACGGCGGGTGGGATTTTAGCACCCGTTGAATCCCTGGAATCGTTAAACGAACTCGATGCCGTACGTGTAAATCCCGGTTTTTTGTAAATAGTTATCATTATTATTACTTACGTTGGTTTTTGGTTTTTAGGGGATTTGCGAAGGTTTAACATACGATGAAATGAAAGAACATTATCCGAAAGAATTCGCATGGAGAGATGAGGATAAATTAAGGTATCGTTATCCCTGGGGAGAATCTTACGTCGATATAATGACGAGAACGGAACCTATATTGATGCAATTGGAATCCGAAGATAACGTTTTGGTATTGAGTCATCAAGCCGTACTCAGGTGCATAATCGGTTATTTTTTGTACAAAACGAAAGAACAACTTCCGTACCTGGAAATCCCATTGCACACGATAATTAAATTAACGAGCCACGGGTACGATTATAAAATGGAACTCATTAAATTGAACGTCGATTGCGTTGACACGACTAGGAAAAGGCCAAAAGTATTATTATTATTAATAATGTTTTGTAGTGTTTTATAAGATTATTATTATTATTATTATATTTTCGTTTGAATTTTCCAGGATTGTTCTTTGTCGACCCAACAACCGTCTCACGAATCATTGAAAAATCCCGTTGTTACATCACATTTTCATGGAAATGTTAAAAAATTTTGGTCGCAAGATGATAATAATAATAATAATTCAAACGTTTGTTTGGGAGCTTGAGAAAGTTTTTTTTGTTTTTTTTTAAGGGGAAACGGAAATTAATGAAAATTATTTATAATTAATTTTAATCAAAAAAAAAAAAGAAAAAGAAAAAAATTATAAGTTTTGGTGCTGTTGCGGTTGTTTTGTGGTTGTTTTCATGTATGCCAAAGGGTATACATGACTTATGAAAAAAAATGTTGTAATAATTATTATTATTAATATTTTTCTCCAGTTTGCACGGTAAAAAAAAATATATATATAATAATTATTATTATTTTTTAAATTATTTTATTTATTTAATTAGAAAAAAAAAATCCTCTCGTCTCGTCTCCCGTTTTTTTTCCCCCCCCATTTCCATTTAATTTAAGGATATAATATCCAAGGAGGTAAAAAGTAAAATAATTCAAAAAAATTCCCGCTTAAAATAAAATGTGTGTCAGGTAAAATAAAATGAATACTAGGTCGACCTTGTATTCAAGGTCGACCTTGGTTGCAAAAACGTGGCCATGAAAATTTTTACAAAATTAAAATTTAAAACTGGTGGCCTTGATTTCAAGGTCGACCTTGAATGCAAAAACGCGACCATGAAAATTTTCACAAAATTGAAATGTAAAACCAATGGCCTTGGATTCAAGGTCGACCTACTTTTGAATAAATCGTAAACGTTGGATTCCCACTTGAAATCCGGCGCGGAAATTTTATTTACGAATATTTTTTACACTTTTATTCGTATTTTAAGTTAATTCGTATCAGGCAAACATAAAAAAATGGAGGTTAATAAATAAAAAAACATACAAAATTTGATTTTTTTTTATTCGTTTATTTTTTTTTCTTTAATTAAATACATCATTCAATAATAATAATAAAAATAATAAAAATAATAATAAAATAATAATAATAATAATAACAATAATAAAAAAAATCAATTTAAATAAAAAAAAAAAACAAACAATTTCACAATAAAAAAAAAAAAAAAAATTATTTAATTATTTCCAATCAGAGCGCCATATTTGATTTTATTTATCATAATATATATATATATATATATATATATATATATATATAGACACAAATTGATGAGTTTTCTCTATGTTTAACATATTTAATAATCATTCTTTTCTTTTTCTTTTTTTTTTTAAATAAAAAAATATCACTATTATTATTATTACTATTATTATTATTTTTTTTTTTTAATAAAATCATGACTAGCGACACTCTGAATAGTAATAATAATAATAATAATAATAATAAAATGTATATGCCGTTTTCCCAACAAGAGCAAAAAGAAAAAAAAGAAAGAAAGCAAGAAAGAGAATATTAAAAAAATTTTTTTTTGTTTTGTTAATGTCCCCCGCAACCAATTGACCCCTCCCCACGTCCCCCCGTCGTTCGGTTATTTAATTGTAATCGTAATATACGTAAGGGGCTTTGATACGTTTGCTTACACAAAAAACAAAGCGAAAAAATATTAATATAATTCGCGGGGAAAAAAGATAAAGAAAGATAGATAGAGAGAAAGAGAGATAGAGAGAGAGAGATAGATAGGGGGAAAAAAATTATTATTACTTTTTTTAAAAATTTTGATCCCATCCCGTGATGTCATCCGGCGGTGGTCCATCCGCATCCGGAGGATATTCGTCAAAATTAGAATGATCGAGAGCATCTTGAACTTTGGGCAAAATCGGAGGAGTTAACGTTCTCGTCGTTAAACCTTCCCAATTGAAACCGTCGAACCACCTATCAAAATAAAAAAAAAACAATAATAATAATAATGATGATGATGATGATGATGATGTTAATTGATTTTTTTCTTACTTGTGTTTTTGTATTTCGCTTATTCCACCTTTTTGATACCCGAGTCTTTCAACTGGATTATCCCGGCATAATTTTTTTATAAGAACCGTCGCGTTTCTCGTTATGTTCCTCGGAAATTCAATTGCATCTATTCCCTTTAATATAATGTTGTAAGTTTTCATTGGATCGGATCCGGTGAATGGTGGAGTACCTGATATTAAAAACAAAAAAACGTGTAAATAAATGTATTAAATAGAGACGACCCGATGTCGTCGTCCCCTCATCGTTTTAATAATTCGTTACCCGTTAATAATTCAAACATTAAAACTCCCAACGACCAATAATCGGCGCTTATATCGTGGCCCCTGTTCAATATGACTTCTGGAGCAACATATTCTGGTGTACCGCAGAATGTCCAAGTCTTTCTACCGTGCTGCATTGCGAGAGAGAGAGAGAGAGAGAGAGAGAGAGAGAGAGAAAGAGAAAAAAAAACAAAATTAAATCATTCAATTCCAGACTCGACAATATTATTATTGGAAAAAAATAAAAAAAATCTGGAAAGAGTTGCAACAAACCTGGAGTTTTTTAGCAAAACCAAAATCAACCAATTTAACATATCCCTGTACGTCTAGCAAAAGATTTTCCGGTTTCAAATCTCTATAAATGATGTTTCTGCTGTGAAGGTAATCGAATGCGGAAACGACGCATGCCGTGTAAAATCTCGTTGTGGAATCGTCAAAATGTCCTTTATCTCTGTTGACACGATAAAAAAAAAAAAACAAATAAATAAATCACCGTAGGATTTTCCAGCATTTTCGCTGGAGAAAAAGGAGGGAAAGTTTTTACTTATATTATTGATTACCTGAGTATGGTCCACAATTCACCGCCGAGACACGATTCCATGAGCATGTATAAATATTTTCTATCTTTGAATGTTTTATATAATTTAACAATAAAATCGCAATTTGCTTCGCTCATTATATCCTTTTCCGACATTATGTGTTGCTGTTGTCTCGTTTCAACGATCTGGAAAAGATAAAGAGAGAGAGAGAGAGATAGATAACCGTTAGTGATCGTCGCATGATACAAAAAAATCACATAACCGTCACCGTCATTGGCACCATCATCATACCTGACTCTTTTTCATTTGTTTCAATGCAAACGATCTCGTACAATCTCCAGCTATTTGTACTAATTCTACTCTTCCAAAACCACCGACTCCCAGTGTTGCCAAAATTCTCAAATCGGATAGTTTAAGATCGCGGAATTCTTCGTTGACCCTAAAAAAAAAAAAAAAAAAAAAAAATTATTATTAAACTTAATCTCGTTTCATCATCATCGTCATCATCATCATCATCGCCTTCATCATTATTATTATTATTCTTTTGAAGAAAATTCATTTTCTCACGCGTTTTTCCATACACATTAATTAACCTCACCCACCTCGTTTCATTCTCCAAAAAAACATCTATAAATTGTTAAGCGTGAAACGGTAAAAAAGAAAAAATCGTTATTATTATTATTATTATTGGATTTTGTGACGACACTTCCGGTTATTTTTTTTTTTTTGTTCGATACTTACTTTCGTCTTTCTATTCCTTCGTCGGCATATTTCGTTCTTATTTCATCTAAACCGGATATTAACTGATTGAAGGATTCTCTATCGATTACCAAACAAGTGACACCTTCGGGATCGTTTGCTATTATGTTGGCAGTTCTCAAATCGTCACTGAAATAAATTATATTATTATTATTATTATTGTTTGTTGGTTGTTGTGATCATCGTGATGGTGATGGTGACGGTTGGTTATTTACCCTTGCAAAGCTTTTTCACCGAAGAAATCTCCTTTTCCCAAAGTTCTTATGTATTTTTCTTCGGACGTGTTGGGTTGTTTTATCGTGACTTTAACTTCACCTTTGCTTATAATGAAAAACGTGTCACCCCTCGCACCCTGACGTATTATGTAGTCACCCTGGTTGTAATAAGCTTCTTCCAAAACGTCTGATATTTTTATAAGAGTGTCTTCTGGCAAGTTTTTGAATATTGGTACGCTTTTTAAGAAATTCGTGTATTCTGCTTGACGGATGAGACCCGTTCTCATCATGATCGTTTGAAAACATTGTCGTTCTATTGCCCATAGCTTGCAATCGGTTGCTGCTTTCGTCGTGGCTGTTCTTTTGCAATTGTATAATATGGCTAATTCTCCGAAAACTTTTCCCGGTGCTAATGTGCTCAGGTATTTGTTTTCTCGCGATACTTCCACGCGTCCCTCTGTAACAAAAAAATCATTTAAATTATTTTACGTGTTGGCAGCATGATTCAAACAACAACAACAACAAACAAAACAAACAAAGTCAAAATTCGATGATTGTTATGAAATATAAGGAAAGTGAAAGTTTTACGGTTTCCATCGATTTTTTAAAAAATATTTCGGATGAGTTTTAACGAAAGTGTCGATAAACAAAATCGTCGGGTCAGCAACAAAACGATAACTTTTAACCTTTTCATTTATTTCGAACGTTATAAACTTAAACGAATTTTCACGGATGGCTATAAAATAATATTTTTAAATGACGTCACGAAGGTTTTTCCCGTTTGTGAATTACCCATGACGCCGTCACCCCCACCGTCACCGTCACCACCATTAAAAAAACGGTTAAATTAAAATCGTAACAAAAAACGTATGTCGAAATTAATATGGAAGGTCTTTCTTTCTTTCTCTTTTCGTTTCCTAATAAAATATTTCTTCAATTAAATTACTTTTTCTCCTTTTCTACTACTACTCATCGAGAATAGGTACAGGTACGCCCTAGGTAAAGATCCGCCATTTTGTATAAGTTTAAAAATAATTTAAAAGGCTGACGGGTCGTATTACGAGAATAAATTTTTTTTTTTTTTTAAATAAATAAATAAATTGTTTCGTCATTATCGGTTGTGTACAAACAACGGTTGCGTTTATTATTATTACAAAATAAAATTTTTTGTGTTTGTACGTATTTGTGTCGTTAGTCAATCGATCGATCGATGGATCGATCGATCCATCGATCAATCGATCAATCGACACAAATTCTAGTCGTCGTTAAAAAAAATAAAAAATAACGAAGACAATTTTTTTTTTTTTCGTAATCGTGTCCCGTGAATTATTTATTATTAATTCCCCTCCTTCTTCTTCTCCCCTTCCTCTCTTCGCTCCCGGGGAACGGGTCATTAATATTAACGTGGTATTAAAGTTTAAAAAAAAAACCCCGGGAAATTTAAAAAAAAGTTGATAACGCGAAGAAGTAGAAGAAAAAATTTCTTTTGTTTTTCGTAAAAAAAAAATATAAAAACAAAAAAAATCCTTTCACCTTTTTTTTTTTTTTTAACGAACGAACGAACGAACAAACAAACAACAAACAAACAATACAAAAAAAAAAAGAAAAAAGACTGGAGAACAATTCCAGGAGAGCGTGATTCCGGAGAAGATGTCACGACGGTCAATACTTTCACTTACGAACGAAATCGTTTTATTATACTCTCGTACTAATTTAATTTTTTGTTGTTTGTTGTTGTTGTTCGACTCTCCGTTCCACTTTTCTTTTCTTTAATTTACGCTCACGTAATCATCATCATCATCATCATTATTATTATTATCATGGCGGTACAAAAAACTCACGAAATTCGATTGAATTTGATGAGGGAAGAGGAAAAAAAAATTTTTTTTCAAGTTACAAACGTAGTCTCCCCGTCGATAAAATTCGAATATATCACTCACCCTTTACGCAAAAATACGACGTCGTTTGTCGTACAATGGAAACAAACAAAGAAACAAACAAACAAACGAACAAACCCGTAAAAAACAAAATCAATAATTATAAATAACAATTTTTTTTTTGTATACTTTTTAATTAGTTTTTTTCATTTTGAATAACGGCCAAAAAAAAGGTCCTTAAGTAATAATAATAATAATAATAATAATAACAATGAAAACGGTTAATGATAATGATATAATAATAATAATAATAATAATAATAATAATAATAATAATAATAATAATAATAATAATAATAATAATAATAAAAGTTCGAAGGTTAATCTAAGCCTGAAAAAGAAAAAAAAGAAAAAAATTTCACGACCGCAAAACGAGAAATTAACATCATTATTGTAAACTCTGTTATTATTATTATTATTATTATTTTAAAACGATAAGAAAAAAAAGAAAGAAAAAATTTAAATTGTTCTCATAGAGTGTTTAAACAATAGCAAACGATTATTATCATTATCATTATTATTATTATTATCATTATTATTATTATTATTATTATTATTATTATATTTTATTTTTTTCGTAGAAAGAAAGAAAGGAAAAAAAGGAACACGCGGACTTTTTATTTTATTTTTTCGTCTGCTTTCACTTCGACGATTTATAAATAATAATAATAATAATAATAATGATGATGATAATGATGATGATGATTTATAGTAAAAACTCCCGTTTAAAAAAATTATTAATCCCCCCGAAAAAAAAAAAAAAAAATTTTTTTCTATTCAAAATGGCTCGCCTTTTTCGAACGGATAATATTTTTATATATATTTCATTGTCATTGAGAAAAAAAAACATGGCGGGGGGGAGGGGGGCGATAATAATAATAATACAATTTTATCGAGGCGGCGGTTTAAACGTTTTTTTTTTTTTTTTTGTTTCTTTTTTTGTCAGAGTAAGTAACGCACACGCACGCAAAATAAATTGACAATAATAACGAGTTTTCAAGGTTTTCGCATCAGGTACAATTCCACCACCTTTTTCTTTTTATTATTATTATTATCATCTGACAAAAAAAGACAAAAACTAGAACGATCCAAAATGAAAAAAAAAAAAAAATCCGACCGTTTTTTAACCTCTTAAACTAAAAATTAAAAAAATTAAAAAAATCAGGTTTTTATCGGATACGACCAAACAAAAAAAAAAAAAAAAACCAAATCAAATCACAAAAGTAATTAAAAATTTCCGGCGGCCATTTTGGATTTAATAAAAAAATTTTTTTATTTTATTTTCGATCCGTCGTAATGAAATTGATTCACCGCCTTCGCGGAAAAACGTTTACGACAAATGAGAATTCGAAAAAAAAAAAAAAAACAGATAAAAGTCATAGAGATGATTAAACTCCTTTTCCGTTCGTGATTTTGATTATGATGACGTCATTCGTCATTTATTTTTAAAAATCAAAATGGCGTCGCTCAAACGCTTTACGCTCAACGGTTTTTCTTATTTTTTTATTTATTTAAAAAAAAAAACGTTAAAACGCACGTTCGATTCGTTATAATTACAATATACCTGTATAATCTACCTTGAAAATTATTATCATTATCATTATTATTATTATTATTATTATTATTATTTTATCAATAAAATTAGAATGGGAATAAATGACGTGAATTTAAATTAATTTTTCGCGTCGACCGTTAAAAAAAAAAAAAAAAGTTACTATATAAAAATAATTCGAAATTTCACCTTGGAAATAAATAATAAGTATTCTAATTACACGTTTCCCTCTCTCTCAATTAACTACGAAAATTACGGGTGGGGAGGGTGATGGGGGATAGGGGGTAGTGGGGGTGAGAGGGAAACAAAAATTTCGACGCGTTCGCGGGGTTAAACGATTTTTTTTCGAAAAAGTTCGTGGCCCCCCCCCCTCAAAACTCTTTTTCTCTCTCGAAAGTTTTCAATTTCGTTCATAATTAAATTAATAATAATAATAATAATAATAATAATAATAATAATAATAATAATAATAATAATAATAATAGTAATAATAATAATAAATTTCATTCATTCTAGACGAGGACAATCGAAAAAATTATTTTCGTATGAGTGATGAGTGTGAGTTTCTACTAATGACACTTAATTGCGTGCATGTCATTTTATTAGCGTCAATTTTCTACCATCCCCCCACTTCCCTCCCCTTCCCTTTCTTTTTTTAATTAATTTCTTTGTACACGCACGAAAGTGGAAATAGACAAAGTTTAAAAAACGTCGAGTAAAAATTTCGGGTCGGCTTAGAATCGAAATGCGGCAAATGGCAAACGAAGTGGACTTAGAATAAAAATCGCCTCCACTCTTTATTCGCACGCGCACACACTCACGGGTTAAAGGTCAAGAATGTTAGATTATATTAGGAGTGAGTGAGAGAGTGAGTGAGAGAGATAAAAAATGACTAAATAAATAAAATAATTTTTATAAATATGAGCAATAATTTCGGATTGAGCAAGTTTTTTTTTTTTTTTTCTTATAAAAATGTTTTTCACTCCTCCCACGATTTTCGTAATATTTTTCCAAAAAAAAAAAAAAAAATTCAAAATTAATCAACGTTCTGGAGAAAAAAATTTTCAATTGAAAATGATAATAATAATAATAATAATAATAATAATGACTTAATCAATTTTTTTACAGCCGCAAATAAACAGATAAATCATCATCGATTCAAATCAATCGATCGATTGATTGATTGATTTTTTCCCAACATCCGATCGATGTGTGACTAATAACAGACGGAAGCGGGGATGGTGATGGTGGTGGTGGTCGTAGTGGCGATGGGGATGGTGGTGGTGGTGGCGATGGCGTCATCTTGAATACTCTTTAATTAATTGCAATCAATTTTTTCCGGTGTTTTATCCTTACAATCTGCTCATTAACAACTTTCACAATTTCAAATCTACGTGATAACAACAACAACAACAACAACAACGACAACCATATTGATAATAATAATAATAATAATTCTTTTCCTTAATGGAATATTAATAACCCACGCAAAAAAAAAAAAGATTTTTTTATCAGTTTTTTTTTTTTATTTTGGAGAAAATTTTATATAGATGATTTCAACACATTTAAACTTAATCATTATAATTTTTTTTTCTATTGCCACGTTAACTTTTTTCGCAAAGGTAAAAAACGAATGAATATTTAATATGTCGAGAAAACTCGTTAATTAAAATGGAAAAAAAAAGAGGAAAATTTTTAAATATCGAATAAAATTCCTCCTTTCCCCCCCCCCCCCGTCCCTCCCGTGAGGTTACAAACAATGACTAATCTAGAATAATAATAATGATAATAACTATTTAAAATATTATTCACGTTATTAATTCATTCAAAGTAAAATAATTCAAGGTTGATAAAATGAGAGAGAGAGAGAGAGAGAGAGAGAGAGAGAGAGAGAGAGAATAAAGCTTTCCGTGACCTTTTCAAATGTTTTTTTTTTTTTAAGCCCTCGAGTTTAAGAAAAAAAAATTTTATTTATTAAAACGTCGTGTCACAAGATTTATTACGAGACGGAGGGGAAGATAAAACGTTTAAAGAAAAATTTGAAAGTTTTTTCGCGCCAAAATAAAATTCAAAAATTTTATTATTTTACCGCCGACAGAAATTTTTTACTTTTGCATTAAAAAAAAAAAATTTTTTTTTAAAGTGACCCTGATTTGTTCTCTAATTCCACTTTTTTTTCCAATTTGATCTAAACCAGGATGTGTGTGTGTGTGTGTGTGTAACAGAAACAGAAAAAATAAAACGACTGGAAAAATTTTTTTTTTAATTAAAAAAAAAAAATTCGTTCCAGTTTAAATTTTTTTTTAAACGTCTCTTAAACAATTGTTTAATAATCGGCGGTTAAATATGGCGGTAAAATATGGCGGTGTAATATTTCCTACGGTACTGTTAATTCATCATTGAACCGTATTTCCGTCGGCGGTAAACATAAATTTCCCCAGCCATTGTTTGAACTGATACAAAAAAATGATGGAAATTTTTTTTATACGGGGCAAAAGGTCAGGGTTACGAATAAACCGTCATTATCATCATCATCATCATCATCATCATCATCATCATCATCATCATCATCATCATTATTAAAAATAATCAAAATCATCTCCAAAATTCTCCAGTTATTGTTGATTGAAATCTTTTAACGTTTCCTCTCCTCGCACGCTTTTATTTAAAAAAAAAAAAAAAAAAAAGTGAAAATCGCACGAGAAAACAAAAAAAAAAAATTACGAAGGGATGGGGGGAAAGGGGATCCGACTTTCTAAAGAAGAAGAAGATGATCAATTAATATTAATAAAGATAAAAAAAGCAGAAGACGAGACAAGATCGACAACAACAACAAGATGATTTTATTATTTAGAAAACGATTTTTTTCTCATGTTTAAATTGATAACACCGCTCCTTATTATTAAACTCCTCACCTCATCTCCCCTTGTGTCTTCCCCGTCTAATGCCACGATACCCAGAAAGACGACAACAAAAAACACTTTGCGATTACAAAAAATTATGAAAATAAAAAATGGCGACTTTCTAAAAAAAAAAAAAAAAAGAAACGTTTGTTTTTGTGAAATTGATTATCATTACGGTGATGATAATGATGATGATAATGATGATGATGATGATAATGATGATGATGATGATGATGATGATGATAATACGACTGGTTCCTTAAATATATACTTTTTTTTTCAAGTTTAAAATTTTCTATTACCACGACGAAACAAAAAAAAGGCAAAAGATTATTATTTACGGTAGAGGAAAAAATGACAAACGATTACGTCACGATTATTAACTTTTTTTTTTTTTTTTAAATAAAAAACGTAAAGAGAGGAAAAAAAACCAAACAACCAACAACCAACCAACAACCGGTCAACCTTCGAATGCGCGAGGTCGAAACACACAAAAAAAAAAAAAAAAACTTGATTGACTAAAATAAAATAAAAAAAATTTTCAGGCACGTAGGAAAACTTAAAAAAAAAACTTTTTCGTCATTTTCTCTCGTTTATTCTGTGGCCGTTGCTTCCCCCCACTTTTCCCCCTCCTCCTTCTTCTTCTCACTTATCATCACCAGAGTTAAACAACCCAAAAAGAAAAATTTTTTTTTAATCAACCGGAAGTAAGAATCAGAGAGGCGAGGCAACAAGTCGATTTCGAAAAACATCATTAAAGGTTTCCGAAGGCAACGAGACTATTCAAGATGGAGAGAGAATAAGAAGAAGATAAAAAAAAACAAAAGTTGGCCACACTGTACGTTTATCGATTGTCTGTTAATATCATTTATTTGCTGTCGCTCATTGAATCCGCGTCCACGCCCCCCTTTCATTGTATGTTCTCTCATTCGTTTCATTATTATTATTATTATTAATTATTTTATATTGAATTCGATAGATTTTTTTATCGTCTGCTTTTTTTTTTTTCTTTTAAGAATTCCAAGCGGAAAATTCACGTAGCGAGGGGGTAGTGTTAAGAGAGATGTGGTAATAAAGGGTGGTGGTGGTGACGTCGGCGATCACAGCGACGGAGACAAAAAAGGAACGTATTGACACACATGATAAAATCATGTTCCGGATCGCGTTCTCAAACGAAAAGGTTAAAAGTTCAGGGTCAAATTTTTAAATTTTTTACTTTAAAAATCGTTTAACAAAAAAAAAACATTTAAAAACACAAACAATTGTTTTTGAAAAATCTAGAACATTAGTTTAAAAAAAAAAAAGAATAATAATAATAATAATAATAATAATAATGAACTTTTGCGGTCATTAATTCCGTTAATAATTTTTTTTTTTTTTTTTTTCCGGCTAAAATTTAAACCGCAGCAAATTTTTTTTCTTGCTCGTGTTCCGACTTGCAAACGCGGTCATTTTTTTTTTTTTTTTTTAATACGATATAATTATTTATGAAAATGTAACGAGAGAGAGAGAGGAGGAGAGAGAGGAAGAGAGAGAGAGAGACAAAATTAGGCAAAAGAGAGAGGGGCGGGAGGGAGAGAGAGAGAGAGAGACACAGAGAGAGGCAAAAGAAATATTAATAAAAAGAAATTTTTAAACAAAAAAAAAAAATTGAATGCGATTGTAAAACCTGTGAAAACCTGATCAAAACGGCGGAAAAATGACAAAAAATCTCATCAAAATAAAAATACTCTCTCCGTATCCGCACAACTCTTACAAAAAACGCCGCCATTTTAAAAAAAAAAAAATTAAAATTAAAATGACGTAATTTTTATTATTTATTAAATTTTTAATTGTTTTTGCTACCTGCTACGGCATCTCATTTCCAACCCACCCTTTTCACCTCCTTCACCTTCACCTCCACCTCCTCCTCCTCATAGTTTAAAACAATAAAATTACGTAATTGACTAAAAATATCAACAACAACAACAACAACAACAACAACAAATAATAATAATAATAATGATAATAATAATAAAAAAAAAATAAAGTTTGGCAACAAACAATAGTAATAATAATATTTTCCAGTTTCTGACCAGCTTGTAACGCAAAAAGATAATTTTATAAAAATTCGGTTATTGATAACTCGAACATTGGTAACTTTGTTATCACTCCAGACTGGAATCGGCGGGAACGCTGGATAAATAAAAAATTTGAAAGTAGAAAAAAAAAAATGGAAGGACGAAGGACGAAATTTAGATTGTTTTTCCAATGGAGCGGAAAAGAAAGAAAAAAAAACGTTACAATTATTAAATTGGCACCGAAAACGATGTAGAAAAACTGGAGACGGAAAAGGAGAGACAGAAAGAGAGAGAGCGAGAGAGAGTAAGAGAGAGAGAGAGAGAGAGAGAGAGAGAGAGAGAGAGAGAGAGAGAGAGATAATTTAAACAATCTCGTTTCTTAATCTATTTTTTGCACCGCCATTTTCTATTTTTCCCATGGAAACGTTCAGAAACCGACAAATTTTAAAACGTATATTTATATGATTACAGTTAATTATTACTCTATGGATTCTAATCCAATTATTATTTTTTATTTAACAAATTTAAAAACATCAACTTTATATCCTCGTTTATTTACTCTATGGACTTAACGAATTTAATTAACCCCGGTAAAATTTACGTAAAATAACGATCGAAATCGTTAAAAAATAATCAATCGATTCAATTTAAATTTAAATTAGTAATAATAATAATGATGATGATAATGATGATGATGATGGTAATGTTAATAATAATGATAATAATAATTGCAAGAGTGATTTTGTCGGGTTAAAAAAAGTAAAAAAAAAAAAAAAATTTAAAGTTTGTTGTTGGACGGCCGAACGAAAATTTTTTTTTTTTTTTTTTAATTATAAGAAATAAACAAACGGGAATAATTATTTGTTTGTTTATTTGTTTGTTTGTTTGTTTTGCAAAAAAAGTCACGGAGAAAATCAATTAATATAAAATGATAAAGGAAAGGAAGAAAAAAAAAATTTTTTTTTTTTATCGTTTCATGTGCACACAAAGACAAAATCGATCGAATAAAAATCGAATCGTCGTGTCAATAGACAAAAAAATAACGGTATAATAAATTTTCCCATTTTTTTTTTTTTTTGGATTTTGTCGTTACCCGTAACATATACATACCTGGACAAGATGTGTGATGAGTTTTTTTCACATCACCGGAAGAAGGTGGTGATGGTGGTGATGTTGTTGGTGGTGGTGGTGGTGATATTAGATTCGTGTCGTCACTTCTTGTCCTTATCGAATACATCATATTTCCGGTTCTTCTTTTTCTTATACCGTACGTATGAACGGGAACTATGAGTTTAGGTCTAGGTATTGTAAAATCTGAATCCTTAGGAAGGGATTCATTCGATGGCACGTTGTTATCATCATTATCATTATCGCGTACGTAACAATTTTGCCTTTCGGATGATTTTGCCGTTTGTTTCGTATACAATCCCGCTCTTACGTATTCGTCAGATTTTTTACATTCGATTATCGAATTCGTGGATTTATCCCCTTTCGAATTCATTTTTTTTTTCAATCTCAATGTTAAAGTTTTAAATATCGATTTTTCTTCTCTATCGTTTTTATTATAAAAATCCATCAAACGTTTATTAATATCCCGTTCGGTGGATTTATTAATCGTGACGTCATCGTCGTATTCGTCGACGACGTCGGCGTCGACGTTCCCGTACGTTTTAATTTTAGGAATTTGAATAATCCCGTTCGTACGATTATCGTATTCGTCTGTGGATTTTAAAACGTTCGCCGCCCTCGTTTGCGACGCCATTGGAAAAGGTTTAGAATTGACTAAAAGTTTCGACAACCTTACATCCGTTAGGATTTCATCCGTGAAAAGACCTCCGGGATTTTCGAAACCTTTGAGTAATGATGATTTTCCTCTCACCGTGTGAACGGGATTTTTATCTTCGTCTTTAACATTACCGGAAGATGTTTTTATTATCTCTGGTATTTTTAATAATTTTCTTATTGTGTTCGTTGAGAATTTTTCCGACGTTGGATTTTTCCCGTGTCCATCTTTGTTTTTCAAAGATCTCATGGATTTCGAATGTTTTAAATTAATTCGATTTTCACCGTTTTCCATCGGAAAATCTTTGAGGGATCTCATAGATTTAGAATATTTTATCGTTGGTTTTTGAGTTGAATTTTTACACTCTTTCCATTTTTCCATTTCTTTCTTATTATTATTATTATTATTTTCGGAATGTTCGCATTCTGTATCATCTTTAATTTTCCGTGGGGGTGGCGGTGGTGGTGGTGGTGGTAATTCCTTACGTTCCAAATCGTGTCCGCCATTTCTCGCGATTAATTTTTTTTCTATTTTTAAATTTTTATTATTATTATTATTATTGTTATTTCTTTGGTTTGAAATTTCGGGTTCCCCACACTCCCGGACGACATTGTTTTTACATTGCACGTTATGATGTATCAGCCTTGATCTCTCCGTTTTTTCACTCCCGTACAATAATATATCATCAACGCACGAATCATCATCATCATCATCATCATTATCATCATCTTTGTTTGCCTTTTGTTTCGTTTTAATCGTTGTTTTATCGTTTGTCGTCCGACGAGCATATCCGATTTTTTTCATACCCTCTTTTCCAAGAGTTTTCCCGTAATTCGTCCTAATAACTCGTTCATCACCCCTCCTCGATTCATTCCCGTTTTTAAACGATGATGATGATGATGAATAATAATAATAATGACTCGGGTAACTTTGGTAATAACTCACGGTACCGCGATCGATCATGGTCGAACCATCCGAATCCGCGTTCGATCCATCCGAACTGTCCTGTAGCCAATCCGTGTAATTCGTATATAATTTTTTATTGTTATCCGTTTTCCAATCGACTACGTCGTTCCAACTCGATTCGTACATCACCTCCATTTTATTATTATTATTATTATTATTACTATTATTATTATCAGTAATGTTTACGACGTTAACACTGTTGCCGACAAAAACCGCGCGACCTGGATAATTTTTCACTTTCATACTTTTTGACGCAATCCTTCATATTTATTATCATTTACAGTCGACTAAATTTACCAACACAAAAATAAAAAAAAAATTTATTATTATTATCATCATCTCCATCATCATCATTATCGCAACTTATTTTTTTTGTAACTTCTGCCACGTTAAATGTGAAAACACTTTAGAGACATTGGAAAACAATCGAAAGCCTTGAAAATATTTCAAATCCCGCAAATAAGGTATAATTAATAATAATAATAATAAATATAAATAATGTGAAGAAGAAGAAGAACGACAACAAACAACAACAACAACAACAACTCGGTTGTTGCGGTTGTTTTTAACAAACGAATTAAAATTATTTTTAAATCGTGTTTAAAATTTTTTAATTTTATCATTTGCGACACAATTACAATAAATACCAGAATAAAAAAAAAAACAAGAAGAAGAAGAAGACGTTTTGAAAATTGCAATGATAATGATAATGATAATAATGATAATGATAACAACAACAACAACCACAACTTTCTTCGATTGAGTTAATAAAACAAGAACGAAAAATTTGAAAAAAAAAAACTTTCTTATTTGACCGCGAAATTAAAATAAAAAAGATTAAATCCCTTTAAGCAATTACACGTTTAACCGTTAACAGAAAAAAAAAAAAAAAAAAAGAATCATTTCTCACAAATTTTGTTTGATTTTAAATCCCCCTCCCCTCCCTTACCCCCTCTCTCTCCTTTCAAAATCTCCAGTTGTTATTACTACTGTCTCGCTATCATGGAGAACAAAACTGAATTTAAAAAAAGACAACGGATATAATAAAGATCTTTAAAAAACAAAAAAAAAATTCCCTGATATCTGGCAAAACTACTAACATTTGAAAAAAAAATTCCCCGATATCCGGCAAGGCTACCAACATTTGAAAAAAAATTCCCCGATATCCGGCAAGGCTACCAACATTTGAAAAAAAAGAGCAGAAAAATTCGTTTTCGGATGACGAAAGAGGAAAAGAGAAACAAGAGAAACAGAAAGAGGACAAAGAAAGAAAGAGAGAGAATCGGAAAAAAAGACACAAAAAAAGAGAGAGAGAAAGAAATAGAAAGAGATAGATAAAGAGAGAGAGAGAAAGAGAGATATTTGCGCTAATAATTCATTAAAGTGAATCGACCGAGAAAAAAAAAAAAACCAAACGCTAATAAATTACAACCAATTCGACGATTACATAACAACAACCACATTGTACGACGTGGACGACAATCACAACAACAACAACAACCGGTACAACGATATTAAAACAAACGAAAAAAAAAAAAATAATAATAATAATAAATCAAAAAGGGGGGAAGAATTTCGAAAGAGTGCTACTAATCGTTTCACACGCTTTCTATAAATTTAATTTAATTTATTTATAATTAAATTATTATTAATAATAATTTATAGACCGCTATATATCTATATTATAGACCTTCTATAAACGCGAAATCCGCCATCTTTTTTTTTAATTTTTTAATTACGGCGGAAAAGTATTTTTTTTTTAAAAATCCACAAATGTATATTTCTTTTCTCATCGCGTTCATTCATTCATTCATTCATTCACTAATTTTTTTTACTTTAATTATATATCGTCATTATTATTATTAACAATTTTTTTTTTTGACGTGGAATCAGCAGCTAATGAAGTATATTTTAAAATTTTTCAAATGAGAATTTTTTCATTGGCTCGTGATCGAGGAATCGAGAAAAATAAATAATAATAATAATAATAATAATAATAATAATAAATATGATGAAATATATTATCGCCTAAGGGGTCACGCGGGAAAAAAGGCTTCGTTACATTCAAAATGGCGTCGTTAATAATTGCAACAAATAAAAAGAAAAAAAATTCTACGACCACGACGATCGCATCTAAAGTTCAAATAACGAACTTTAAACTGTAATATTCAATAATAAAATTATTATTATTATCATCATCGTCGTCGTCGTCGTAAACGTCACCGTTACGTAAGAAAATCTAAAATAATAATAATAATAATGATAATGATAATAATGATTTTTCTCAAATCGTTCGGCATTTGAATGTGTATATATATTGCAATTTTCGAAAGTAAGTAATAAATTTTTTTTAAATACGTAATAGGAAAAGTGGTCGCTAAGAACAAAGTGGCATTAGAAAAAAAAAAAAAATGAAAGGGAAAGACAAAATTTTTAAACGATTTTGGGTCACTCAACTACAATCTTATTCACCGAAAAAAAAAATATTCAAAAGTAATTTATTTATTTATATAATAGAAAAAAAAAGGGGAGGATGATACGCGGACGTGACGACGACATTTTTTAACGTGTCAGCAAGACAAAAAAAAAAAAAAATACACGACGACACTTTTTTCATTCGAATTACCGAACTGAAAATTATTTTTTCATTTTTATTAAAACGAATCCCCGGCCGCGGCGATAAACGAATTCGAAAAACGTTCGATTCGAACTCGAACGTTTGTATTCTAGTACCACGTCTCATTCAAACGACAACAAAAAATTTTATGCGAAATTCTTTCTTTCTTTCTTTTTGTCCTCTCCTCCTCACGATATGATATTTTTACTTTGTCCTTAATCTGTCTTTCTCACTCTCTGCTTTAAATTACTTTTCCTGTTATTATGATCGTAGTAATAATAATAATAATAATAATAATAATAATAATAATAATAATAATAATAATAATAATAATAATGATGATGATGATGATGATAATAATAATGATAATGATAATTGGCTAACCGGTCGTGTCATGATTTTCACGAACCGTCCCAAATTTTTTCTCTCTTTTTTTTGTTTCTAAAAATAGTTTTCAATGCTTCCAGTAATAATGAGAACCAAAATTTCATTTCATCGTGTCAATAGATTTAATGACTACATTTCATATCGATAAAATTCGATTTTTGTCTATCTATAAAGAGCGCGCGAGTTTCTCGAGGAAAATTCTCGGGGGAAAAATTTAAAAAAAAAAAAAAAGAAAAAACGTGGAAATAATCGTGATTTTTTTTACGATGGACGTGTCAGTTAAACATAAGCGAAATTTTTACCGTTTATTATTATTATTATTACCGTACGTTTCGATGTTTCCGGTTGTCGTTTGCACACTTTCAGACGACACTTGTCCGTCCGTCCGTTTGTCTTTCATACAACAATTCCAAAAAAATTCTAAAGGATTTTAAATGTCGGAAAAACCATTTTTTTTGTTTGTTTGTTTGTTTGTCACGCAGGCGACGACAAACAACCAAACTTGTTAAAATTTGTGACAGGTATCAGGCATAAGGGTCTCACTTTCAAAAAAGATGGCAAATGATTATCGTCACATAAAAAATTTATTATTATTTTTTTTTTAAAAAAAATCGACGACGTCGTAAATTAAATAATTTAGTTTTTCGAAAGTTGGCACCTTTTAATTATCGTTTCCGGTTGTTGCTTAATATCGAACATAAAAATTTTCACCGGTGGAGAAGAAGAGGAAGAAGAAGAGGAAAAAAACTAACGAAATGTTTTTCTTTGTTCGTAGAAAGCAAGATAAACGAAAGTGATTGATAACACGTTATCAGAAAAAAACGAAATCTCGTACCTGAAATTACACACAACAAATTTTCCCGCCTTTTTTTGTTTGTTCACCGCCATTTTTTTTATTTGGGTTATAGAAATCCGGGAAAGTGAAAACCTTGGCGACTTTATCAATGTGCTTACGTTATTTGAATAAAAAAAAAAAAAAATAGGTAGACAACTTATCTTAACCCGTCCCTGTTCCTGTCCTGTCCCTGTCTCTATCTCTCCTTTTACCATTTAACCTTCCCTTAAGGTACAACGGACAGGACACCGTTCAAACGCAAACAAACGAACTCTTTACGTCATTCGATCTCGTATCGATCAAACCACTCGTTTAAAAAAACAAAAAAAAAAAACAAAATGGCATTCGTCAGATCATCGTCCCCTCTCCTCACCCCTCATTTTACCGCCACGTCATCAACGCACCCGTACAAAAAAAAAACAGGCAAACGTGGCGCAAGTGAGTCCATTTATTATCTCATTATTAAAAAAAAAAAACAAAAATCATTTCCTTTGACCGTTTCCTTTAGTTTTTTCCCCTTTCTCCTCTCTTTACACCCCCCTTTCTACCCCCCACCTCCATTCCACGTACGATTTCACCATGTGTACGAATAATAATAATAATAATAATAAGTAATAATAATTAAAAATTTAACCCAGATTCGGGTAATTTCCAATGGGCGGCAAACAATAAATATCCTTATTATTATTATTACTATCATTATTATTATTATTATTATCATTATTATTATCATTATCATTATTATTATTATTATTATCATAATTATTATTATTTTTGTTGTTATTACGTTTACGATTGGAAAAAAAAATGTTTTTACCTGTACGAACGCGTGCGCGCAAAAAAATTATTATAATTATCATTATTTATTGCCATTATTATTATTATTATTGTTAATATTTTTACTGCCAACTTTATTTTAATGACAATAATAATGATAATAATAATGATCGATCACGTGTACGTTTTGTTCGGGACCGAAAATAAAAATTATTGGCTATTTTAAACAAACAAACAAAGGGTAGAGGAAAAATTTGGCAGCGAATTTCCGGTTTTCATAGATTATCCTTCTCACGTAAAAGTGTAACGAAAACATAATAATAATAATGATAATCATCTTTTCTAAAAAAAATTTACGCGAAAATCACCGTGGCACGGTTTAGTTTACGTTTTTTTTATTCAATCCAATTATAAAAAAAAAAATTGCCAAATTCTAATGACACGAAATTTTTTTTTTTTTCTAAAATGAATCCTTGGCCAACGCGGTTCGACATTCATGAATACGATCAATAAATCGTA